CTTATTGTCTCTGTATAATCCCTTCTCAGACAATCTGTACCTTGTACCTTTTAAAGAATACTAATCCTTGCAGGTATGTCCTCCAAGATCCTTGCAGGTATGTCCTCCAAGAGTGTGTGTGTGTCCCTTTCAAAGTGGCTATGGAGTCTGTTGGAGTCTTCTGTTGGGGCAGAGCAGAAATCAGAGGCAGGGCTAAACGTATGTGCTGTGTTGGATGGTGAATGGAGGGTTTCAGGGACGTGGAAGCTTTACCATAAACTCACCTTGTCTTAGCTGTGCATTTTTACAACCTGCACTGTGGATTTGTTGAGTGGATTGCTGCGTTTAAAGAAAAAAAAGTCCCATCCTTTTGGGAAGGAAGCCCTAATTTGACTGTAAGACAGAACAGGAGCATACTTTTTTTTTCATTATACTTGTTCTATGATTGTGTGCCATAATTTAATTAATTAATTAATAAATTAAGTAACTTAATTAAAGTTAATTAATGCTTTAAAGCTTAAGATACTTTCTGTTTTAAAATGCTGAAAGTTTTATTAACTTCAGCTACTTTCATGCTTAGAGATCTGAACTGAGATTGGGATCCCATCACATGAAGTGCAGTACAAGCACGTAGAAGGAGACAGTGTGCTGTGTGGTTGCTGTAGTTGGCAGGGGATGGGACAGAGGAGGAACAGTCACACAAAGGTTAAAAATGCATTTTGTTTTGTTTATGAAACTTCCATCAATGCTGTTCATGGCTCTTGCATATTTTCCTGTTATTATAGAGGAATTTTAATGCCAAATCCTGCTCCCTTTCCCTGGCCTATGCTCCCAATGACTTTAGCATCGTGCAAGTTAGGTGAACATGACTTGGCTCCGCCTGTGTCACCATCGCAAATTTGGGTGCATTGAAGTGGAACAGATGTGTACCTATTCACTGTTTGGGGATTTTGTGCGAATAGCTATTTCTCTGTAAGTGCAGAGTCAAATTAGCAACTTTTTTTGCCTTTGTTCTCTCTGTGCCTGTGCTTGTCATCGGTAAAACGATGTACCATGGCGAGCGGGTTGGACTAGATGATCTTTAAAGGTCCCTTCCAATTCAAACTGTTCTGTGATTCTAAATTTAGGCAATAACCCCTGATCTCACGTAGGTGCTGTAAATGCAAATTGATAGATGTCTGTGAAGTGTTCAGATACTGGGGTGATGAGTGCCATAGAAAATGTTGTGAGGAACTTAATAATCCTGTCATCAGAGCAGCTCTTGGATAGAGCACAAGGACACACATTGTTCAGGATGAGGAAAACAAAATATTGAACAGCTCCTCATTAAACCCGTTGTCCTTTCTGTGCGATGAAGGAGATAGGGACTGAGGAAAAATAGTATATAGTGGAGTAAACAAAGGCTGCCTCATGATTCATATCCACAAGGGAATGAATGTAAAAATTTTTCTGGCATTCTTTAATGTTGTGTGTCCTTACTCATCTATTCACACCCTTTATTTTGACATATACTTGGTGGATGAGTTATTAATATATGGTGTGTATATCCTAGTACTTCTGATGAAAAGGTTATGGTTATTTAGATAACAAATCTTCTTTAAAGTGAGCCCTTATTTAATTTTCAGCTTTATTTCTCTTTTAATTTAAGTTCTTGCTAGAAATGAGTCTGTAGCTAACTATCCAGTGGCAAATTGAACAATGTAGCTACTGCAGTACCACAGTCTTTTAGTCTTTCAGGAAAGATACAGCATATCCTTCAGTGAAGTTGCGTTAGAGATAGGGGAGGTATCCAGGGAGAGGAAAACGGAGGAGTTGGAAAAAGAAACTCCTTCCCAGGGGATGAGGACTAACAAAGGTACCAGACAGAAGCAGCAGTTGCGATTGTTCTCATACGATAACCGCTGCTTTTTCATTTCATCTTAATCTTTGCAGATTCTGCCTAAATTGTTTCCATTCTGCAACAATTATCTGGCCAGGAAGAGATATCTGAAAAGTACAAAGGTTTAGGGAAAACCTTTGAGGTTTGGCTGCAACAAAGCTGCAGAAGGCACTGTGAGCCTTTGTTAACCTGGCTTTCTCAAAGAAAGCAACTGTGTTTGAATTATTCTGAATCCTCGTACTTTTGTTTTCATGGCAAGACTCCCTGGGATCCATGGTTTGTGTTGCAGAGTACTGCTGGCCACCGTTAGAAAAGAGTCAGGGGACCAAAACTTGGATTCACGCGGTAGGAACGTTTGCTTTGTTCTGTATGAGCTAAGGAAACAGCCTTCCAAAGGAGGAAAACTCAACCCAAAAAACATGTCTCAGGGCTGTACACTTAAGCATCTTTGATATCATCAATTTTTGTGTGAAACTGTACTGATTTTCTTCTTTTTTTTTTTTTTTTGTATAATTTCAGTTTGGAAATTGATTAAAGAATCTGCATAGAATTTAATATGGCATCAAAGCAGGCATCTCCCTCAACAGAGGAGCAGGCTTCCTCTGAAATAGATGATCTCTGTCTATCGCTGCAAGGTAAGTTACTGTAGGTTTTTTGTGCCATTTTAATGTAGATTTTTGCAAAAATCTGTGACCGTGCACAAGTCGAAGAGAATTCTGAGCAACCTGCTAAAACTAGCGTTACGGTCAGCGTAGTGAGTTTGTGTCTGTGCTTCTTTCTGTGTTTTATGAGAGTTGCTTCAGGGGTGAAAGCAAAGATGACAGCTCTCATAGGACTTTCTCGTGGTATTTTCAGAGCTGTTGCCTTTTTTGGTACAGATGAACTTGCTGGTTCTTATGCTTTGTTGCTCAGAATACACATTACTGTAAACTGTTTTCAAGGGAATCGCCAACATGAAAACAGTTATGCCATTTCATTAGTTGCCTTGTTTTCAATTTGCTGACAATTAGGTGGTTTCATTAAGCTGTCTCAATCTCTATTAACTGCAGTGCTATTTTATTTTATTTGTTTTTCTCTTCTTACTGCTATATCCCCTGCACATGTAGAAAGATAGCTTGTGGCCAAAATAAGTAGAAAATTTTTGTGGCTTCTAAACAAATTTCTTAGAGGTCAGAGGCTTTCATCCTTACTTGCAATGCGTTTTTAACTTGTTAAGGAAGCACTCGCTGGCTGATTTTTAATTGTTCCATTTTAGTGGCAGCTACCTGGACAGTTAAGTGGTAATCAGTGCATCAGAGCTTTCAGATAGGTGTTCTGGCTTTTCCTTAATCACATGTTGAATAGAACCATAAAATAGACTAGAATAGAATTCTATAAGAATTTCCTGGGAAGGCTAATTCTCTTCTAAATGTGTTTGTGAAAACATTCATGGTAGCTATTGAGGAGGGTAGTTCAGGCAGCAGGACTAGCACTGCTGGAAAGCCCATTTCTGATGTGTTTAGAGCCTGATTATTCTAGGATGGATGGGACTAGGTCATGTTTCCACAGAGCTAATTTCCTCTTAGCTCACTTGCAATGACATTACTGTGGTGCTTAGTTGAGAGGAAATATGTTTAAAACAGATGGTGCAAAAGAATATTCTGCCAAGTCACTTTTACGATCCATATTTGCACTAATGTTGTCATTGAAGCCATGTGGTTCCATGAGTGAGTGTTAACAGTGGTCTAAAGCCAAACGTCTTTAATGGTGAATTTTTCTTCCATTTTGCTTCAGTATTGCATTTTCAGGAGAGCAAGCAAAAACTCCTGGCAGAGAGGAGCTAGTCTGACTGTTGCACCAAGCACAGCTTGTCAGACACGCATTTGTTGTGCCAGTCAAGCTCAGCCTTGGTAGAAAGAGCGAGGTGGCCGTTGTCATGAAATGGGCTGGGAAAAACACTAGCTAGCTTTAAGGCAGAGAGTACAGAAATAAAGTTGTGTGTGATTTTAGAATGGAGTTTTATTTTGAAATAATACTTATGCGGTTTTCTGCAAAATCGGATTGGGGTTTGTGTCGAATAACAGTAGGGCTCTTTTGTCAATATCTCAGTGAAAGAGCCCTGCTTATTAAAGTTGAAATTACTGCATTTCTTTGCTGTAATAATTTGAGCTCCTAGAGGGACTTTTGACAAGGGCATGTAGTGGTAGGACAAGGGGCAATGGCTTTAAACTGAAAGAGGGCAGATTTAGATTAGATATAAGGAAGAAATGTGATGAAGCACAGAAGATGTTCTCTGATATGACATATAGAAACCCTTAGTAACTCTAAACTGCACATCTGTGGTAGCAAAGGTGAAATAAGAATGATAGGATCATTCAAGGAAAAGGTTTTTTTCAATAATAGGAATCTTGAGGTGAGATTTGCAAAGCAGCCAAAGACATTGTTTATATTAATTCTTCACGTTCACCTGTACAAGTTTCAGAGAAATCCCAGATTCAAGGAATGGCTGCTTTTAACTATTGGAAAAGCAGCTTATTTTTTGGATGACTAAAGATGGATGTAAAACTGATTATGATCTGCTTTTCAAATTGTTAAGTATAGCTTTGAAGAGTATGTCCGGCGTTGTATAATATACAGCGTAACAGGAGATACGCATAAATAGTTGGTGCAGAAGAAAAAAGTAGGAGTGAGATGTTGTCTGAATTGCTTATATTTTATTCTACATTTAAATTCTTCGTGATCCAATCTTCTATTTTTCCTGATAGGCATCCAGTGGTGATAGAGCACTTGTCTAGCCTGGTTAATTAGGATGAGATCAACTTAATGTGCAAGTTGATTTGATCATATAACTTTGTGAAGGTATATGCCTAAAAAATGTAACAAAATGCTTAGCTTTTTTTTTTTTCCCTTCCCTAGCTTGTGTAAAACCACACAGATTTTAAGTTTGTGTTACTGTGATTTAAGTCGGTCTGCTGTGAGGAGGACAGCACTTTTTGGAAGAAAAAGAAGGAAAGAGAAGAAAAAGAACCCCCTTAAAATAATTAATAAAGAGGTTACTACTTAGTAGTGCTAATTATTATAGAAATCCTTTTAAATTAATGCCAGTGACTTAATATTGTAAAAACCTGCTTCAGTGGAATTTCTGCTAGTGGGCTTTTAGGTAGAAGAGTGTTCAAGGATGAACGTTCAACTTTCTTCAGTAGTGTTCGGCCTAGAAGCAGTAAAGAAAGTCACTAGAAAAAAGGTAGAAATGTAACCGTTCCCAGTGTGTCTTTCCTTTCAGCTCAATGTTTTAAGCTTTAATGAAGCTTGAAAAACATGAAGAAAATAGGTAAAGAAATGAAAGCAATATGGTTTCTGATGTTCCTATTTTGAGATGATGAAGCTAGTCACAAAATCATGTGGCTGAAGTAAAAGCTGCAAGAATATAAACACTTATATATGTATCTTTTCAAATTTATATATTGTTATTTAACCTTTTCCAGTTTTCAAGCTCATCTCTGCAAACAAAAGAGTAATAGTTACCCCCTCCCTGCCTGCCAAGAAAATTGAATTTGCTGTGAAATTGCATCATGTCAGGACTTGGACCCTTCTTTTCTGCTCTTTTTTTCCTTCCCTCTCTCCTAGATGTTATAATAAAATTAAATCACAATAAGGTTAATGATATTTGTGCCCTGTCTTCCAGCCCCTCTCTGCTTTCTCTCAGTTTTCTCATGCAGCACAACTTACAGCAGTTGTAAAGCTGTTTTGTGTCCTTGCACAGCTTTCTGAAAGTGCAGGTGAGAAGCTTGGAGCCGGACCTATTACGGATATATCCTACGGAGAAATATTCCAGGAAAGGGTTTCTTCTGCCAGGCAGGCTGCAAAGGTTTTGGTGAACACAAGATCCTTGCCAGGGAGATGCTCTGTTGTGACGTGTGGACCATCTTTGAAAACTGAAGTCATTTTTGCTGAAGCTTTGAAGGGAGCAGGCAGAAGCTCGGGGCTTGGCTGGTGATGAGCACGGAAGAAATAATGCAGGAGCCCTATCCTGTGTCTCCTCCTCGCATGGCTTCTCCCCCAGCATTGCATGACGGGCTGTCCTCGTAGAGGGGTCCAGCCTGGCGCTCAGCCTTCTGTAAATGGAAGAGGCACAGTTGGAGTCCAAAATTGTTTTCATCTACCTGAAATGAGGAGGCACGTCCCCTCCTTTGGTCAGAGAAGGGCTTCATGGCAATGTTTTGAGAGCTGTTGGAGATATGACTCCTCTTTGCTGATGGGCCTGATTGTGGGATTGCAGCAAAGGGGGATGTGCAGGCACTTGCAGAGGAATGGCTGCAGCAGAAACTGACAGGGTTTATGTTGCTGTGGAGTGGGAGTGTTTTTTGCTTTCGGGATGTAAATCTGTTTACCTGTGAAGGATCCAACCTTCCCTTTCCATCCCATGCACAAATCCTTCCGCTTTCTTCCCTAGGACCGCAGACAGACCCTATGTGAGGTGTTCCCCACCAAGCCTGTGCAGAACTCTGTTTTCCCTTTTCTTTCCATGCTTGCTGAGCTAATTCAGACACAAGAGAGCATGTTTTAGCTCTCAGAGTTTGGTGCATGTACTTAATCATTCACTGTTTAATTAACTGCAGGGGTCTTAATTTTTGGCTCTGCTTATTAATCTGTGTGCATGTTACTGTTTATTACTGTAACCCGAAGGATGATCATATAAGAATGTGGCTGCTAAAGCTGTTTTTGAAGAGTGTTTAATGATATAAATGAGTTATGCAATTTCCATGCAGTTATGTCTAATCCTTTATGAATGATTTCTTTTCAAGTGAAATTGAAAATATGATTGTATGTACAGATAGAGTTTGTTGTGCAGCTTGTAGCAGATTACACTCATGTCTGATTAAAGGAGGATATCTCTCTGAGACTCGTTTAATTAATCCAGAGGTCAGGTAGACTACGGATTCTTAACCAGCATTTTTTTTGTTCTAGATGTATGCCTCACCTTTTGGGGCCAGTATGTTATTACAACTACACTTTTTTTTTTTTGGTTGTTTAACCAGAATAATCAAAAAGTCCATTAAATGTTTATTATTATATTTCAGGGGTGACTTTTGCAAATCACAAAGCTCCCATAGGACCTGCACTGAAACTTATGACTTGTTTATGCTGCCTGCTGCCTGGGTGCAAAGCTGGTCTGCAGTTCTCCTAACTGTGTGGCTTCATGGCATGTGATAGGGCTGACGTTACTGGAGAGGCAACTGACATATGAGACTGCCTAAAAAAAAATCAGTCATGGGTATTTTTGTCTATTTCGCATGCCTAATGAAAAAGATAGATTGTATAAATGTGTTCCCTGCTAGATAAATTTCAATTTGTTAAAGGTAATGTCAGGTACATAACTGGTTAAAAACTGGTATTAAAATGCCGGAGTGGATGGCTTCTGAGGCACCTGTATAGGGCACTGAAGGCCACTTATGTTCAAATCCCTGCTTCACTGTGGATTTTCTTTAAAATGTTAGAAAAGCCACTTAAGCACTTATCTTTAAAAGTATGTTGATGTGACTTAGTGCCTTTAGGAATTTAACCTGCAACCTCTGTCTATGCCCCCAAGTACTGCAGTGCCTCACTTTGTGGGCTGTTGTGGCAGTAAAGACAGTGGGGATTTAAAGCTGCTCCAGGATCCTGGCAATGAGAAGAGGAAAAGTGTTTAAGCAAGGTGGGAGGGCAAAACTCATTGTGAACGTGCTTCCGGAGTTAGCAGTGCTTTTGGTAAGTTGGATAATTTACTTTCAAAAGGAAAAGGAGCTCGAAAGGACTAGCCTAGAAAGGAAAGTTCCCACTTGCTGCACAGACATGGTAGTAGTTAATTAGTTAGTATTTATATGATATTTGGATTTGAAAAGACCCATTCCTGTAGGAATATTTTCGTCACCTTCATTGGACTTTGGATAAACTTCTTAATCTTGACAAAAAATACTGTGTTTGTTTTTAATTGCTTAACACCATGTTGCTGAACATAAATGCTGGAAATAACTCTTTTCCCTGCTTTCCTGTCTGCAGAAAATGAAACTCTGTTACTGGGTGGAGGAGAAGGGATTATATAAAGGGCCCAGCGGTGAATTGCTCACCCTCTCCCTAGGTTGGCAAGTACTTAACAGTTCTTCTGATAGTTCCTGCCATTTACAGCGTGTACCTGCTTGGTGTTTCAGTTCATACCAGCAGTTCTGTCTTGAAGGACCTCTCCCAGTTATCCTTGCTGACCATGCTTTGATTCATTTTGCTGAGCTGTCAGGGACTGGAAATGGTGATTTAGAATGCAGCTGAAATAAATGCTCCCAGAAGGTACCATGGCTGTCTGGGGACATTCAGGCTAGAGCTAGTCAACACAACCTTTCTTCCC